ACAAAAAAGAAGTCACCAGAATCACCATTATTAGTATTAGTAACTCTTGGGGGAGAGAGAGAGAGGCATAGAAGGACCATTAAGTGTAGAAACAACTGGGCACTCTGCAGAAGGAAAAGGCCGACAAACCTGAGAAGAGAGAGAACTGACCAAAGGCTGGGATTTGGGCCCAACAAAGTGACAACTAGGATCACAGAATCTCTGAATTGAAAGGGATTTCCATGACCATTTAGTCAAAGAATTCCCTCCACAAAATGTCTGCTTAAGTGTCATCTAGCCTTTGCTCAAAGACCTCTGATGAGAAGGAACCCAATACTCCCCTCTACTCACCCCCATCTAACAATGTGCCCCCTTCCAATTTTGAACAGTTCCGATTGTGAAGAAGGTTGCTATTCTGCCATCTTTTTAATTTTCACCGGTTGCTTCTAATTCTGCTTTATGGGGTCAAATCAAATGATGCTACCATCGTAGCAGCATGGATTTAGAGCTGGAAGGGGTCCTAGAGGCCATTAAGACCTCATCAAATAGCTCACTGACATAGCGGATACAGTACTAGAATTGGAGTCCCACCTCAGATGCTTACTAAGCTATGTGACCTCAAGCAAATCACTTACCCTCTCTTTGCCTCAGTTTCCTCATCAGTAAAATGGGGAGAATTTTAGCATCTATTCACAGAGCTATTATCATAAAATCAGATGATATATGTAAAGCACTTCGAAAATCTCAAAGTGACTATAAATGCTATAATAACAATAATTATTATTATCATTTCCAACCTACTCATTTTACAGATGAAGAGAGTGAGGCTGGGAGAGATTAAATGCCTTACCCAATCATTCTTTTATTAATTTTTTTTTCTATTCCTCATTAGGTAACATATTTCAGATGTACTTCTGTTTTCTAAAATAAGAGAATTAAAAAATATGAATATCATATTAGCATTTAACTTCTTACAGGGTTCCTCCATTATTTTTGTTAATAATTTTATTAATAAATATATAAATAATTTTATTAATAATAATTATTATGCCAAGCATTACACTGGAAAAGGAGAGAGGGTAGAGAAGAAGATCTGTATATAGATTAGCCTTTATTCTTAGAAAGACATCAAAACAAAGTTTCCAAAGACATAACTGATATTTCCATTCCTCTTTGAAAAAATGTCTGAGGTGTCAAAATGAAAAATGCTACAGAAAGATCCTAGATAAGGGCTACCCTCTGGAAAGCTATTTTTGAAGGAAGCATTTGGTTTCTTGGCCTGCTCGTAGCTGCCAAATGTTAAAGAGGAGTCTGCTTCCCCCCCCCCCCCGCCAACCCCCACTAGAAAGTTAGAACAAAATTGGTGAAAAGCCCTTTGACAGTTGATCTATCTCAAGACAGGATTAAGGCCACATGGAAGTGGTCTTGGGGCCAAGAAGAGAGTATGCAAGGAAAGAATGCTGGATATATAATCATCAGACCTGGATTCAAATTCTAGTTCTGGCACTTGAGTCAGTCCAACCCCACTGGTTGAAAGCCAGTAGGGGCGGCCGTCAGAGAACTATAAGGCAAGATGCAGGGTCTATCTGGGTAATCCTCATCAAGTCCCCTCACTTTTCTGGGTCCCCTATTTTCTTCAACTCTAAAATGATTAAGTGGGTTTATCAGAGGTGTCAAGCTTCCTGCTTGTTGTTATCACTGACAAAAGTAAGGAAAGCAGCCTGAAACAGATTGAAATGTAATTGGGAAATGCTTAACAAAATAAATAAAAAATACAATACAATATAGATAATGTGAATTTGTGGTTTTCTAAGTCAGTACGCTACCTGCGGGGATTTGTTTCTATTTGAGTTTGATACCACTGGCTAGATGACCTGAGGATCCCTTCTATCTTTGTATCTATAAACCTGTGCGAAGATACCAGCTGTTTTCCCACTGTCTTAGAAATCAAACCAAGCCTAGTATAGAGAAGCATATTTTTCATTTCTTATGTCTTACAAAATCACAGATTTAGGGATCTTAGAGGTTATCTAGTCTAAATATCTTATTTAACAGATAAGGAAACTGAGGTCCAGAGAATTTAAAGATATACTCAATGTCATCCAGCTGTTTAGTGTTCACACTCCTAATTTCTTTCATGTCCAAGTCCTCAAACACCTGTTTGTAAACTTATGAGAGTGATAATTTGATATTTTTTGGTTTCCTTTCCTTCTCTGGTACCCACCCTGCATCATTAGAAGGGAAAATGCAGCTATTTTTTTTCCTTTCTATTCTCAGAGCCATTCCCTTTGCTTTGTTGATTACCATTCAAACTGTCAAGAGAAGAAATGGCATCCCTCCTCACTCCCTGCCTCCCACAATACCCTGCTTACTTTCCACACTGCTCTCTATGACAGGTAGAAATGGTTTCTGTTTTCCCAAATGAATGTGTGCCCCAGAGTACTTTCTAGCGACTGCCAATCCATTACAAGTGTCAATAAATGACATTTTTCAAAAAAGTTGAATGTTTTTGCAAACCATTAATGTTTGGGGTATCTCTTCTAATGGGAATGAAGTTGCCATCATCATAATATTGTTTGTTAGGAGAAGCAATGTGATTTAACAGAAAGAGTCCTGTTCCTGGGCTCAGGTCCCAGTTCTCCTACTTCCTACTTATGTGACCTTGAAAAATTCAATAAAAGGTTATTAAACTCATAGGCTCAGACCTGAAAGGGACCTTAGAGGCCATCTATTCTAATGCTTTTATTTTAAAGATGAAAAAAAATAAAAAGCAGAAAAGTTAAGTGACTTTCTCAGTCACACAGGTTTGAGTTCAGGTCTTTTGATTCCAGATTCAGAACTTTTCCCCCAAATCACACAGGGGCTAAGCAACAGGAAACAGAGAACATCAGACTATGAATACATTTACCCTAGATTAAGAGGTCAGTCCAACCCGTAATTATCCCTCAGTGATAGGTAGAGGTGGCTGGCACAGAACAATGAGGCAAGACACAGGGCTGGCACTCACCATGGGAATGATTCCTCTGGGGCTATCCCAGAAGCACACCCAGTCTCCATGTTGATAGCAATGGGGGCAGGATATACTGCTAGTGAGGGCTCTGGGCCCACCTAAAGACAATGCTATAATGAAATATGTTTTTTTAAGCTTCATATCAAATACACAGGCCAACTTTTTATTTCTACCAGTTCTTTCTTTCCTGAAGGAGGTGCTAGTATATTTTTTTATGTTATACCATCAGGCTGACACCACCATTTCCCCTGTGGCTACTCTCTGTTCTCTGTAAACTCTCTTGTCATGAATTTCCACTATCCTTCTCACTTTAAAAGGTTCATGTTTATACCTTATTCTTTCTGCTGCTTTAGTGGCAGTCTGGGATTCCGGGCATTGTCATTTGACAATTCCCCATAAGTTAACTCTCTCAAGGAAGAAGCTAATGTTCTTTAAAGGTTTTGACCTTTGTACTCCAGGTAGGGAATAAGCCACCATAGCACGATTATTTCATTTGACAGCCAGGGGATTCTGCTATATCTGGATGCCCATCTATTTTCTTTAAATTTGTCCTTGGAAATAAAGAGAGAGTAAATGCTTACAGATTGCAGGGAGAGTCTTAAACCTCTCTGTTTGGGTTAAGAAAGACTGACCTTCAAATGCACTGCAAATCTAGGGCTGAGCCCAGAGCTAAGGGCATGGTCATTTGATCTTCGATGGAAACCTGGTGACATTTGGGGTTAAGCATGATTATCTGTGCTTAGTGGAGGACCAAGAGGTGGAGAGCTGAGCAGGAAAACAGTGCTCTAGAATGTAAATACTAAGCCATCTTGGCATAAGAGACAAAAACAAATCACGTTAAACACTTTGGGGGCTATTTTAACTTGAGCACTGTACTGAGGCCTGTTATCTGAGTTCTTTCACTCATCTCTTCATTTTTTTTCTGAATTAACTTTAAGCAATTGAAGTTTCTTCCTCTGGCAAAAAGGGATGAAAGGAAGTAGGAAAATATACATTCATTGAAGGCAAGAACTATTTTTGATTTTGCTTTTATATCCTTGACATCTACTGATAGTTTATACAGTGTAATGCACTGTGTACATAATTATACATATATTCATATGAAAATATATGTATGTGTAGATATATCTATATATCTATCTATATATAAATCTATGTTTGCATATGTGTGTGTCTATGTACTTGGCTTGGACCTTTGATTTTATTGATTCAAAGAACTATTTGTGAAGAAATTTATTGTATCAATGGAAATTAGTATACACTCTCTATTCTTAGTTTCCTGAGGCATTGAGAGGTTAAGTGACTTGCCCAGGGTAATACAGCTAACAAGTCAGAGGTGAGATGTGAACCTAGGCCTTCCTGACTCTGGTGCTGGTCAGGTTTCTATCCACTGTTCCACACTCTGACTGTCATATAGGGCCTTGCGAACCATAGGAACTTAATCCATGTTTTTTTGGATTGCTACTCATTCAGGAACAGGGCTTGGAAGAAATCAGAAAACCATGGTTTTATCAGAAAACCATGGCCATTATCTTTAATGTGAGAAGATTCATAAGAATGAAGGGGAGGGGGAAAGCTGATTCCTGAGCTCTTTATAGAGCTTGGGGACAGCTCTATTAACCTCTGTCTGAACTTCAGAGACTGGTACTGCCTACTGGAAGTAGAATGAAGAATGACAGTGAGAAGTAAGGAAAAAACCAAAGATCTTCACCCTTTTTGTTCCAAGAAAGCTACATAACACTCAGGCCAAAATGGAGGAGAGCAAGACTTTCAGGTTGAAGAACACACGTTATGGTCCTATGTATTTATTTACTACTTTTTTTTGGGTGAAGCAATTGGGGTCAAGTGACTTGTGCAGGGTCACACAGCTACTAATTGTCAAGTGTCTGAGGCCAGATTTGAACTCAGGTCCTCCTGACTCCAAGACCAGAGCTCTATCCACTGTGCCACCTAGCTGCCTCTTATTTACTACTTTTCATTTTTACTTTTCATTTTAACTTTTCTCCCCTAGAGACTGAAAGAATTAAAACAACGGGAATTTGCTCGAAATGTAGCTTCTAAGTCATGGAAAGATGAGAAGAAACAAGAAAAAGCACTCAAGCGGCTACATCAGCTGGCTGAATTAAGGCAGCAGTCTGAATGGTGAGAATGAGGTCATATAATACTTTAGAGCTTGGGTTTTCCTCAATAACATTATCCAACCAGCTCAAACCCATGAACACGGGCCATCTTAAACAGTACCAAATGATGAATGCTTCATGTGTATGTATATATAATAGGTAATATTTACTTAGCATTGATGTACTTCCAGATTTACAGTGCTTTGCAAATATTATTTTGTCATCACAAAAATCCTGGGAGATATATTTATCCCCATTTTACAGATGGGTAAACTGAGGCAGGCAGTGATGAGATGACTTTTCCAGGCTCACATAGCTGGTAAGTATCTGGGGCTAGATTTGAACTCAGATTTTCCTGACTCTGGGTGCTATATCCACTATCTAGGGGTGGGGGACTTGTGGCCCTCAAGTGTGTCCCTGAATTCAGTCAAAGGGCCACTTGACCTAGAGAGCCACATGTGGCCTCAAGGCTACAGGTTCCCCATCCTTGAATTTCTGCACCACCTAGCTGGCTTAATCCAGCCATCTATACACATACATGCATGCATATATATGTGTATGTATGTTATGTATATGTGTGCATGTGTCAGTATCTTTTGTTTTTTACCTCACTTTCATTTCCAAATATGTGTTTCCTCATTCCTTCTTCAGAGATCCCAACAGTACATGAAGTATCCCATACCCACAGTCTACTATTCTTGTAAAGAAGAGAGGGAAACATAATAAATACTTCTAATATTTAAAGTCTTGAAATGGATTACTTGTCATTTTAGGATTTTCCCTTCTGCTAAAACTATTCATTTAATCCATCCTTTAAGAAGAAACCAAAGAATGATTCTGAAATAATAGCATTTAGCTTATTAACTTGACCTAAATTTATATTTTCCTAGTATAAATTGAGTACTATAATTTACTTGGTTTATTTTATGTCATCAGAAAAAAATTGAATGGTAATATCTCCTTGATTACTCTATAAATTTTTTAACATCACTTTGTATTCACTCAGACCCTTGAATAAATGTCATTATCAATGGCTGGATGACAAACAGAGATGTAATTACTTCATTTACATTTTCCTCTTAGTGCTGGCTAAATTAATAATTACAAGGAAACAAAGAGTTATACGAATAAACCATTGCAACTAAGAAGTAGAGATTTTATGACACATCCACTAAGTATTTCAGAAAAAGGAAATTGTCCCCAATACCCTTTTAATTTATAGTATGAAATGTTTGTACCTATAAATCATTATGCAGAACACTAATGTAGCTAATTAATTTAGCACTATCAACCTGATAACTTACAAAACGCATGACACTTTCCCAGTAAAAAAGTGTTTCTTGCTTAAATGAATGGTAAGCAATCTTTGTAGTAAGTGACTTAATTATATCACCACTGAAGAGTAGTCAGATTTATTTCATAGGAAAATGTCTCCATTTTGAGGCATTCATTCTAAGTGGAATTGTAGTTATCTTATTATAATGTGTCATCACTATCTGGGACTTTTTGTCAACTTTTTATATACAAGTATTTATTTCTCTTGTCAAAATTTTAGTGGGTTTGGCCTGCATACCAGCTTTCAACCAATATCATTGATGGTTTTTTTATTTTTGTTTTTTAATTTTAACCCATGGCTTGCTTCATGGTCCTTAGTCAGATACATTTCTTTCAGCATGATGGAAGCAGAAACAATAACAACAACAAAACAATAAGAAATGGGGATTTGGGGAAAATATTCATTTGTAACATATTGTACAAAAGCAGTGGTATGGTTGCTTCTGGGCAGCTAGGTGGTGTGGTGGATAGAGCCCTGACCTCAGAGTCAGGAAGACTCATCTTGATGAGTTCAGATCCAACCTCAGCCTCTTACTAGCTGTGTGACCCTGAGCAAGTCACTTAACCCTGTTTGCCTCAGTTCCTCATCTGTAAAAAGAGCTGGAGAAGGAAATGGCAAACCACTCCAGTATCTTTACCGAGAAAACGCCCCTCCTCAAAATGAGTTATAATAGAGAATCAAACACAACTGAAACAACTAAACAAAAAACACAATATGGTTGCTTCTATGATGGTTATGCACACACCAACTATAGGACCACAGTCAGTCAATTTCTTCAACTAATGTTTCATTTATTGTGCTGCCATATTTTTTAATTCAGTCATTGTTTCAACAAACATTTATAAAGCATCCATTATGTGTCAGGAATCATTCTAGGCCCTAGGTACAAGAATAACAACCAAAAAAATTTGCTTATATGCGAGGTAGTATTTTATTGCTTATCTCCTCCCTCTGGAAATTTCTTTATATCTGTTTTTGCATATATTTTATTTATTATTTCTTGTGGTTTTGGTGTCTGTATTCTAGTTATTATTATTATTATTAAATATTCTAAAATTGAATCTAAAAACAAGAGAGAAATAGAACTGAGATGCCCCAAACTGCAAGTTAATTAATAAGCTGAAAAGAAAAATGAACAAGCCTTATATTCTTAAGATGCAATTCTTTTTATAAAGGTTCTTTTATTTCTTCTTCCAAGGACAACTTTTTTGAGTTCCCAGGAAATGACTTAAGAACTCTTTTCAAAGGCCCTGTTGTAATTCTGAAGATGTTCTATGAAAAAATGGAAATATTTTGTTTTTCCCTTGGAGCTCTAAGAAAAGATAAGATGGAGGCCTGGTTATCTTTTGTGTAGTGGGCTATTTTAAAAAGCTTTTAAAGGTAAGAGTGGAGGCCTGATGGTTGCTTAGAAGTTGCCATTACAAAGCAGAGGACTACAAGTCCTTCAGTTTGTAAGACTGAGCAAGTGATCTGTTAGAACAACTCTGGTTAACCGAAATAAGAGCAGTCCAATCCTTCCCTGAGATGATTGTGTCACTGTTCAAATTTCTATGGTATTGAACTTAATTCCTGAGTCATTGACACCATATTTGTTACATTTTCAGTGTGTCTGGAAGTGGGCCAGTATTTAAAGCACCAAGAGTGGCCCCAGAAAAGCAGTTTCAGCAAGAAGTTATCCCATTTAAGGATGGTAGAAATACAGGATATGTGAAGAGCTCTGTTCTCCTTAAAGGTAAAAATGTCCCCAGAAGCATTTCCAGCAAACAACGTCAGATTACACAAAATCGACGCTTGTTCCAAACTGAGAGACATTATTTGTTTGGGAGTCGGATATTACAACCACTTTCCGATGGCAGCAATCCCTGTCACAGGACGGGTGTCTCTTTCTCTTTCTCCAAAAAAGCTCATCTAAAATTGGAGTCCTCTGCATCAGTTTTCAATGAGAACACAGAAGAAACATGTGAGTGTGCCAAATCACCCACCCACAGAACAAAGCAAGCAACGGTGAACTGGAAGGGTTGTATGTTTTCAGATGGAGACATGGCACTCACTGGGGGGAAAGTAATAAATAATCCCCGAGGTCATATAGAAAAAATGATCTCCAACACTGTTCCCATAAGAACTAAAGTTTTAAAGGACAAAAATGATACTAATGATAGGATACTGCAAGATGCCATCAACATCCATTCCTCCATGTCCAAATCTCATATTCATCTTTCAGGTATAGATTTTAATTCTTCATTTAGAGAAAAAGAACATGGAAAAGAAATGAATGAGATCGAGGACTCTCTAAAAGGTCATAGCTATCACCTGTGCCAAACAAATACCTTTTGCACACCACAGAGTACATATAAGCACAGCGAATACAGGTTATTTGAATGTCTGGATGAATTTCCATCACCAACGGGACAAGAGCATTCGATTAAGCTAAATCCCAGCTCCAGAATGGAAAACAGAATAAAATCAATTGAAGAAGCAGGGACAGCTGAAAGAAACGTGGAAACTCTTGTAAAAGATACATTAATCCATGGAGAAGAATCCAAAGCATCACCTTTCCTCCATGTGCTCAGTAAAGATGGCAGCACCAACCTCCAGTGGCCAACAGAGCTTCTGTTATTTACAAAAACAAAACCCTGCCTCTCTTATGGCTGTAACCCATTGTACTTTGATTTCAAACATTCTGGAAACACAAAAGGAGCTAATAAACAAAACGAAAAGAATGCAGAATGCTGTATGGAGCCTTCTGGGACTAAGACAGAAAAGGAGAGCCAAGCCTCAGGTTTAATCAAAGATAAACGAATAGTGATACAAGAAGATAATCAGTCACTGAAACCAAAGAAGATGAAATGTAATCTAGATGAGAAATGTTCCCTGAAAAAATATCAATCAGGCCTCAATAACTCTGAGCCAAATGTGAATGAACAGGAATATAGTACAAATGATTTAAGTGAAAAAAATCCTAAAGTGCCTGCTTATCTTGCTGCCTCTAAAAAGGATTGTGTGGTAGAGAGGCATCCACATGAAACAGAATCTATGGGACCTTTGAAGGACCATTTGCAAGATTGCCAAAGGGTAACCCTGAACGATGCCAGTGAGGTCAAGTGTTTTTCTCCCTATGTCTCTAGGACTAAAAAACATAAATCTGCTACATGGGATACTCACTTGAGATACAAATGTGGAAACCAAGATCCTTGGACATTCAGTTCCAGTCCAGTAGAATGCATCAGTGATGCAAGTGATGGTGGGAAGGACTTCCATGGAAGTATGAATGAAAATCACCTTCAAGCAATCAGAGAAGCTTCAGAACGCAAAAGGAATGGAAATTCTGATAGGTGTTGGAAATCTTCCTCTCCAAAGTCTTCTCTGGACAGACAGTCTAGTTCTTCTGACATCTCTCTTTATAGCACAAGCAGCCACAGAAGCACTTGTTCAAGTCACAGGTCCAGTGAAAATGGCAGAGACACTTTGCTTTATGTGTGTAGAAAGGAATGCCACCCCAAGGAAGGGCACAAAGAACGGTCTAGGAAGCACAACTTTCCACTCTGTTCCAATGATGATGAAAGGAATAGCCATTTCCCATCAAAAAGTCAGAGAGGAGGAAACTGCAAACTCTGGAGTGGGTTTAGAAATGAAAAACAATCAAAATATAGGTATACTTACAACAGGGATAAGTCAAGGCAGGGCAAGACTAGACACCTATGTCTAGGCCCCAAAGCCAGTAAACCTTTTGGGGACCCCAGCACCCAAAGTTGTTTCACAAGACACTCTAGGAACAGTGACAGATCCTCTGAAAATCCAGGAATTTGGGACAGAAATTCAGGCTCTTTCTTAAGAGAGAAAACTGATTACCCAAACAAAGGCAGTGAGATTCAGGAGGACATAGAACATCCTCATGATTCTGACCTGGGAAAAGTAAACCTAGTCCAGTATACCTCTGAACTGATCAACTGGCCGCAGAAAGATGGAGACCGGGTAATTCCAAGGATCCCAGGGCTGCACGTTTCAGAAAGAGAGAAAATATCACCACCAGCCCTGAGGCTTTTGGATGGAACCCACCCAGAGAAATGTCAGGAACAAACAAACAAGGGTGAGGTCTTTTCAGATGGCTGCCAGATGGAAGTGGAGGATCCCTCCCAAAGTCACTTTGCAATTAAGCTCCCAGCACCCGTATATAGCCCACCAGTGTTTGCTTTGTTGGAAGAAACACAGAACGTAAGTACAGTTACCAAGAATAAAGGCAGTTTGATTCAAAGAAGTGCTGAGAGAGACAAGGATGAAGGATCACAGACAAAGCACGACGCTGCTTTGTCAGACACTGGTGATGAGAACTGTCTTTTTAAAGGTATAATTCAAATAGGAACAGACTATTGGTCCCCAAACATAAACATGAACACTGTTCAAGAACAATTGAACCTCTCAAGTAGTGGAACCCAACCTTTTATACAAAGCACTGACCCAGTACCAAATAATTTCCCTGGTGCTCTGCCTTCTATTAGATATTCTGGTGTTGTTAATTCAACAGAGACCAAAGAGGAACAAAAAATCTTAGAGCGACATGATGGAAGCATGGACATGAATGACGTAGAAGGGAACATCACCTCTTACTTGGACAGTGCTATGCAGAAGTGTGGGGAAACAGAAAGGGAAGTCTGCCACAAATCCATCTCCCCGCCTTTAACACAGCAACCCATAACATTTACACCTGAAGAAATAGACAAATACAGACTGCTTCAGCTACAAGCCCAGCAGCATATGCAGAAGCAGTTCCTGTCCAAACATCTTAAAGCCACAGGTCCCCCTGCCTTCTCCTCCACTGCTGTGATGCCATCGGTGCCAGTCCATCAGCACACGTCCATCACAACCATCCATCACACTCTTTTGCAACATTTTGCTGTCTCTGCTTCCATGAATCCTCATGGAGGACACCTCCCTATAGCTCACCTGCATCCCCTCTCTCAAACCCACTTTACCCCTATCTCATTTTCACCCTTGACTCCTGCCGTTATCCCTACACACCCCACGTTCTTGACTGGACACCCCCTACATCTAGTCCCTGCTACGCACCTTCACCCATCCCACTTAGCCCTCCAGCCACTGCCTCATGCTGCATTTATTCCAACTTTGTTCAGGCCTCACTTGAATCCAGTCGCGGCTTCGATCATTCATCTGAATCCGTTAATTCAACCTATGTTTCAAGGGCAAGACTTTTGTCCTCATTCGTGCTCTGGTCAAATACAGCAGTTCAATAGAGTAAAAGAAGTGTTGAATGTTTCTGCTCACTTGAACTAACAATTACCTCTCTATTCTGGGGGTGGGGGTTGCGTCTTAAGAAGAGATCGTGTCTACCTACTGAAAGATGTTTTGGAAATGAGGTATGTGATTGGTCAGAATAAAAAGTTGTTGGGGCTTGCAAATTGGCCAGATTGGGGTTCATGTATAAATATGGAATTACTAAGCATTTGATCATCACAGTTTTTTAAAATGAGTTTTTCACTTGAAAGAATAATACCATTAACTTTAAAATAATTTCTTCAAAAAAAGAGACACAAATGAGGAGGCAGTGTTATATTTTGGATGAACTTGCTAGGCATGGTATTAACATTTAAGGAAAAAAATATGGCAGCTGGCATATAATGAACTCTATATTTAACATGCCCAAGCAATTTCATTGTTTTGATTGAATAGAATACTCAGTCAAAGCAGCCAATCAGTTTAGTGACAACAGCAACAAAATGGTTCTTTGACTAAATGCCAAGTGTTGATTGGTCTCTTAAACCCAAATAGACTATGGATCTGTCTACACAGGCAAAGGGAAGTGGTAAATTAAAAAAAAAAACAATTCAGACAAGAGTGTGCATCTTTTGACAAATTGGTTGTCTCCATTGACTTGATTCCTTAGATTGCTGTTAACTCACCATCTTATGCCTATGTAGAAATATGCTGTATGCAATGGCAAAAAGTTGGGTCAAGTTCATTTCAGATTCTCTTCCATCATCCAAAGGCCCTAATATTTATTATTTTCTTATGAAAACAAGTTTTCATAGATAATTAGTACCTGATACTGCAGAAGTTATACAAAATAAATTATAATTGGTATAAAAGTGTGATAATTGTCATTCATCATAAGGAATAGGAAGATAGATAGACTTTTACTCTTCTATCTAGAATGCTAACAGTACTTACACAATTACCATCAAGTCATTTTTCAAACACAAAGGGAAAACAGTTTGAAAGGAATAATAACTTAATATAGTGTCAAAATAAGGTAAACCATTAAAATTCTGTTCCATTGTTTCACAATAAATATATAAAATATCCTGCTCACTGAAAGTTTCACAAATAGCATGACTACAAACCAGATTTTGTATATGGTTTTCAAGAGTCACTGGTCAAAAATAATTATTTCTATTCCACAAAATCTAAATTGTCCAATTAGGATTTGTTGTGCAATGGGAAGAATACTGGTCACAAAGTCAGAAATCAATCTATGTTCAAATTCCAGCTCATTAACTCTATGACCATAGGTGAGCCACAGGACTTTTCTGAGCCTCAGTTTCATAATCTGTAAAATAGAGACTAGATTATCTCATTAGAGGGGGTGTTTTGAAGGAGGTACTTTGTAAATTCTGAAGTATGATATAAATATGAGTTATCATTATCATCTAATGTTACCCCTTGTCAGGTAGGCATAATACCTGCAGCCCCCCCTTTTGCACTTAATAGTATTTTATTTTTTCCAATTGCTTGTAAAGATAATTTTCAACATTCATTTTTATATGATTTTGAGTTCCAAATTTTTCTCACTCCTTCCCTCCCTCCCCCTCCATCCTCCCCAAGATAGCCAGCAATCTGATATAGGTTATACATGTAAATCATGTAAAATATATTTCCACATTAGTCATGTTATGAAAGAAGAATCAAAACAAAAGGGAAAAACCCTATATCCTCTTTTTTAAACACATTTTGCCTATCTCATTTTCATCTCTGATTGTGTCATCATCCCTACATACCGCACATTCTTGACTGGGTACCCTCCCCACCCCACCTAATCCCCGTCACTTACTTTTACCCATCCCAATTAACTGCCTCATTCTACGTGTATTACAATTCTGTTCAGTCTGAATTTGAATCCAGTCACCGCTCAGATCATTCATCTGAATTCTTTCATTCAAGAGTAGTCAAAAGAACCAATCATCAGTTTAGTAACAACAGCAACAAAATATATCTTATTCCTTCCAATGTTCTTTGTATCACTTGAATGAAAGAGCACTTTGATGGAATCACAAATGAGAAATAGAAGTAATTACCCATTACACAAGCTACATGCAAGTGGATCCTGGAACTAGAGAAAGGGAAAGAACTTAAGGAATTGCTTTAGGTCATTAGATACATGGGAAGTTTCTTAAATGGGATAGAACTAGCCCTGAGAGGGAGACAAGGAGAAATTGCAAAGAAGTAGGAAGCAATCACAATGTTAAAAATGCGGCAAATGGGAGAACATGACACAGAAGAAGAAAAAAGAAGACAATATGTATCACTAGAGTTTCACCACAGGTGTGAGGGTTTTCTAGTAGAATGTGAACCTGGACCTTCTGAAAAAGCAACTGCATCCCATGTTCCAGTGGGGGGGGGGGGGGGGGGGGTTTCCCCATTTCTCCCATTTATCCTGCATCATGCTACCACTGATCCTAAGGGGAAGAGCCTTGGAATGGCACTTGCTCATTTCCTACTGACAGGTACAGATGTGATTTCACGTGTAAACTTGCCTGACCTATGGGAAAAGTATATAATCTTCCAAAATTGTATGGAGATCCTCCATTTACTTATGAAACACACCAACCACCACCCACTCAGATTGATTTATATGGGAACAGATAGCATAGTCAGAAGAAGTCTCAAACAAATCGCCAATGATTTTAAAGGACTGTGGCTATAGAAGGTGTCTCTTCTTCCTTTTAAAAGCTATGTCTCTGGGAAATATAAGAATTTTAGAACTCGTGAAGTGGAAAAGACTAGTGATCACTTAGTCCAACATGCTCTTTTCTCATTTTTACAGATGAGGAAATTGAAGTTTAGAGATATTAAGTGACTTGTTCACTAATTTTTTCAATTCTCATAAGCCAGCATTCCTAAAAACATATCATATTCCTCAACACTGTATATGGAGTCAACTGTTCACCCTAAAAATGCAGGCTACATTGTTTTGACACAACAAATAACATAACTCCAGAAAAACCCTATAAAGTACATCCTCTAAAAACAGGCAAAACTGCCTAATAGTGGGATTTCAATTAGCCTACACTTCACTTTCTAGGTGCTAGATTAAGAGGTAGGAAGAATCTTAGAGGTCATATACTCCACCCATTATATTAGACATTGGAGGAAACCGATTCCCAGAAAAGTTAAATCGCTTGCCCAAGGTCATACAGGTAGTAAGTGGCAGAACTCGGATTTGAATGCAAGTTCTCTTACTCCAAATTCAGGGCTTTTTCCTCTCACCTGTGCTGATGGTGGTCCAGGGCTCTCATCATGAAGAAAGTACAACATCAGCTAAGGCTCAGTTAGAAGAGATTCTAAGTTTGAAGTGAATGGAGCTCCCCCCATATATTTTATTATTGGCAATTTGATAGTTTCGACAAAAGTAGATTATATAATTGACAAAGCACATTATTATAAGGCTATGCTTTTATACAGGATTCAAAATGAGGTCTCTTTTGGGAACATTTACCACCTGTGCCCCTGTATATATCAGCAGATGTGAAAACTGAAACCAGAAATCTTTGAAAGAAGCTACGATTTCATCTTACTACCAAAATGACTAGCTTTTCTGCAGCCTAAAAGGATTTGAAGTTTCACTCCTCCCAGTCAGCAGGAGACTGTGTTGTTGCTTTTTGAAGCAGAAAGCTTTAATCAGCAGACTCCTGTCCCCTGTTAGAGCTGCTAGACTACTTTTTCACAGGGGTGAATGGCTGGGGGCAGATCTGAAAGAAGGGAGGTAACTATAGAGTAAACAGTTGGCTACATAAACTGTTTTCACAAATATGGCATAATTTGGTGGCCATAGTTTAAAACACCTGAAAAACGGACAACAGTCAATTGTAGGAAGAATGGTTTTGGCTGGAAAACCACTGAAATGATCGCAAATCACAGAATTTAAAACCCAGGGGGAATTTTAATAGCTATCTAGTCTGTATCATACTCAGAAAAGAATCACTATAATATATCCAACCACTGATTGTCCAGTTTCTCCTAGAAAATTAACAGTGAGGGAGACAGGTGACCCACCCACTCTCCAGGGAGGCCATTCCACTTATCAACAGCTCACTTTGCTAGTGAAATGTTTCTGCTGTCAAGTCTAAATTTGTCTCTCTGCACCTTCTATCTAATGTTCTAGCTTCGACTCTCCTGGCCCAAATAAGAAGATTGTTTTTTTTTTTCTTTCCTCTACATGGCTCTTCTTTAAATGCCCAGACACAATTATCATATCTGCCCCCCCACCCCCACCCCAACCAAGTCTTCTCTTCTCCAGGCTAAGCATTCCTGGTTTCTTTGACTGATATTCAAATGATGTAAACTCAAGCCTCATCACCTTTCTGCCTAGCCTTTACTGGCCACTGTACTGTTAATCAATATCCTTTCTAAACTGTAGGACCCAGAACTAAGCGTGTATTCCAGATGTAGTCTGATTAAGGCAGAGGAAAAAAAAAGGGATTATGACTTGTCTTAAATTATGCTTTCCTTAATGTAGTCCAGGATTGAATTAATATTTTTGGCTGTCCCACCACTAATTCATATTGAGCTTGCAATCTATTAAAGCCCCCAGATTTTTCCATAAAAAAAATGATGTCTAACTATGCTATCCAGGGAAGCGAGGTGGCCAGGTGGATAGAGTGCTGGGCCTGGAGTCAGGAAGACCTAAGTTCAAATCAGGCCCCAGACACTTACTAGCTGTGTAACCTTGGGCAAGTCACTTAACCTTGTTTACCTCAGTTTCCTCATCTGTAAAATGAACTGGAAAAGGAAATAGCAAACCACTCCAGTAGTTTTGCCAAGAAAACCCCAAATGGAGTCATGAAGCGTCAGACAAGACCAAAAAACGACTAAACAATCACGCGTACTCCATCTAACACTTGTGAAGTTGATTTTTTGGACTAAGATATACAACTTTTTTTTTTCCTCTGTCAGATTTTATCAGATTCAGCCTGTCAGATTCTTTTTTTTTGTTTGTTTTTCACATCCAGACTCTACAAGAGTATGTTGGTTATTTCTTTCAACTTTGAGTCATCTTC